ATACATGACAAGCGCCAGAAGCTCCGTCGACAACGGTGGCGATGTGACCGACTGTTACGACGTTCCACCACGAGCAATTCCTGTGATTCCATCCCCTGCAAGTAGTCCGAGTCCTGCCCCATCTTGCTACGATATACCAAGGCCACCGACGTCTTGTACTCCAAACTCGAATTGTTCTGGTGGCTCTGGCATCACGCCTTTAGATTGTTACGATGTACCACGGCCGTTACAACCATTGACACCAAGTAGTTCAGCTTCCAGTTTGACCAACGATGGGTCGCTCAGTGGATCTAATAGGTAAATTGATTGACCTATCATATATTTCCTCTAATGCATTTTACTTTATCTCATTTATTTGATTATATAACAAATTCTCTCAGATCGAGCCTCGCCGCTCCAGATTACGACGTGCCACGGCCACGTCTTCCAGCATCATCGTTACCATCACGACACAATACACCTGTCCCTAAAACGCCAACTCCACCGCCACCTCCTATGCAAACGCAGCAAATTTACGACGTACCGATGAACAAGGAACTTCCATTGGAATTGGATGCCGCGTTGGAAGGTCTTCAGAGGTTGCAGAACGAAGCTTCAGCAGCGATAGCCAGGTTATTAGGTTTTGTTAGTCCTGGCTGGAGAACGCCTCAACGATTGGACGCTACATTAATGGATTTAAGGCTCGCAGCATTGAGATTGAGAACGTCATTACACGATCTCGCTGAATTTGCCGAAGGTATTGTTCGGTACCATTGAATCATCATATTAAACGTCATCAAGATGAATAGATCCGATCGATTGAAGTGGTCCGCATTACGCACGTAGGTACGCTCGGTAACGCGGCCAAAGCGCCAGACAAGGGTCTTGCAACGAAATTACGGCCTCTGGTTAAGGCACTTCGTGACTCCGACAAGCTCGTGCAGGAAGCCGCCACCGAGTTGGACACGATGGAATGGGACGCGGGTAAACTCTGTCGCGGTGGTGGCGACACGCCGACACCTACGAATGGGCCACCACCTTCCCTTCTGCCGACGGTTCAACCGGATCCACTCGATCAGCTGATCGCGTGCGCTCGAGCACTCACGGAAGACGTTCGTCAGGTCGCCAGTTTCATTCAGGTGAGCATCTTTCAGTTGCGATAACGCGCACGATTTTTCCTTATCTCTTCACGCTAGCTATTGTCCTTTCTATGTTCTATCCATGCCTTTAAAGATAAGTCTCGTGATTACGATAATATTAGATCCATTGTGATATAATAAAATAACATTTTTATTTTAGGGAAATTCCACGTTGTTATTCAAACGATCATCCATCATCTCAACGGGCAGCAGCAACAACAGCGGCGCTGGGGAAGACTACGATTACGTTAATCTCGACTCACGAGAGATCGTGGCGAAGCAACGAGAAGAACTGAGAGCATCTTTACCTCAAGAACTCCGTAGCAGTTACGATCTACTAGTGTCCGAGGCGGACAATGCGGCCATTCAAATGCCACCCACGACACCAACGCCCATGGATCCCAACGACAAACAATTGTTGGCTTTTTACGCGGCTCAAGTGATCACACACGGTGCACACTTAACTCATGCCATTGACGCCTTCTTGCAAACGGTTGAGCATAATCAGCCACCCAAGGTATGTCCCACAAACTCTTTATCTTTTCTTAACTTACCTAAGCAAATTGTTATTTTTATTATTATATCATTTTTGTTATTTTTATTATATTATCATTTTCTTGTTTAGGTCTTTCTGGCACACGGCAAATTCGTCGTCCTTAGCGCCCATCGACTCGTTCACATAGGTGATACCGTGCATAGGAACGTGACAAGAAACGACGTGAGAACGCGAGTTCTTCAATGTGCGAATGCCCTGAACGAGGCACTCGCACAGACAGTCTCGAAGACGAAACAGGCAGCACAATTCTTTCCTAGCGTGACTGCGGTACAAGAGATGGTCGATAGCGTCGTTGACGTTTCTCACTTGGCCAAAGATCTCAAAGTCGCCATGATACATGCTGCGCAGCAACCATGAATTTATTTTTGCACTAGCAAAACGTGATTGGATAACGAAAGGTAGAAAAAGTATGAGAGAGCGATAGACCGATAGAGCGATAGAGCGATAGAGAGAGAGAGAGAGAGAGAGAGAGAGAGAGAGAGAGAGAGAGAGAGAAAGAGAGAGAGAGACCGTGAAACGTCGATAAGAAGTAGAGACGTGACTCTAACATGAATTTCTTCAGTATGCTGAGGAGAGAACAAGAAAATCAATGTCTCTTAGATCGTTCTATAGTGACTCGAAAGTGTTCGAAGGTCCTACAACGTGAATGTTTAAAGACGATAATCAGTAACGTCGTAATATTGTCAGGCGACCGTGAGGGGTTTAATATCGTTTATTATGACGTTAATTGTCCTGGATTTTGACGATTAAATGAATAAAAGTTAGAGGGCGTTGGACGTGTCTTTTTGGATGAACAGATAAGACGAAAGAGAAAAATATTCTCGGAATTTAAACGTCTCCCTTTTTCTTCTTTCTAAAGATAAGGAATCAATCTTTAGGCCTACGTTTTATTAGAAATACGCAACTGCCAAAGCACAAGTATAGTAGTAGGGAAGGGAGACCAATAAAAAAGAAAAAAAAAAAAAACAAAAAAAAAAAGAAAAAAGAAAAGAAAAAAAAGAAAAAAAAAGGAAAAAAGAACAAAAAAAAATACGGAAAAAAAATGATTTATATAAATGTATTCGAGAATTAATGATATCGTAGTGTTTTATAGAGGAAACGTAATCGTGTCATTTTTCGAGTAGATGCGAAATCCGTACGTCGAATACACAAACTTGTCCTTCCGTGCTAATTACGAGTGCTGCGTTCGGAACAAAACGAAATTTGTTAATAATTATTATCCGCTATATAACGAACTGCCTTTTGAACGTGTTTCTGAACGATTTTAACAGATTAAAATATAACGAACGAGCAATTTGCGCAATTTAATAAAAAGAAGAGAAAAAGAAAAGAAAAGAAAGAAAACAAAAAACAAGAAAAAAAGCCCAGAGATAGGATCTTCTTTACAACGGTCAAATTCACTCGAAAATATTGATTGATATTAGTTTAGTTTATAGAACGTAAATTTTTTATGTAATATCAGAATTTTATACGAAACTTTTACGATGTCGGATTTTCGACGTATTTTATCGTTTGAATATCCGTATATTTCTACAGCTCTTCCAAAACAGCCTATACCGAAGTTCCGAAATTCTAAATAATTAATAAACGACACGGATCACTAGAGACAATGACTATAATAATTAATGCTACGATTAAAGGAATAATAAATAAGAATTGTGCAGCAAAGTTCCATTTTCTTCCGCCTTTATGACGGAACCTTGACTTGAAATATCAATAACGAGCCGTATATTTATATAATTACTGGTCATTCGGCAGCAGTTTTGTGATTGATACAATCATTTAGAAAGATTGAAAACCCTTTAATAATGGATCAAAATAAGCGTGCGCAGCTGTTCGAGCACAAAAACAGAAATACCTCAGCAGATTTTGCGACGCTAATTGCTATTAGAGTACGAAAATTGTACGTAATGGTGAATAGTTTATATCGCACTTTATTTTTTAGAGAATGTATAATCGAGCGAGAATAATGTATGCGCCTATGCGCGTGATCTTTGGTCGACGAGGCGTGTATTATAATTTATTGGCAGTGTTCTGTAAAATATTGCATTTGTGCGGATTACATAGCGTTCTTGTATATTTAGAATTTGCATATACATATAATATAGATGGTTAAACCATTAGGTGCTCATCATACATGTCGATTCATTGTCTTTTTAAGACATCACGAAGACAGTAATATTATATCAATTGATATCAATTCTATCGAAACGTACGCGTATATATTACTGTTTCAATTATCTAAGAATCATTTAGCATCATCCGCTTTTTTTTTCATTTCCCTTTTGTACATTGTACCTGGATCAACTTTGTTCGCAAATATCATAGCTACGATGACGTGTTAGGATTGCTCGTACGCGTACCTATTTTTTTATCTTTATATCGTTCGAGCAAATGATTGCAAATAATTGCATTCGGAGAGAGGGAGGGGAAGGGTGGAAAAAAAAGCGCGTTAATGTCAACGCGCTCCTTTATTAATGCTGTGCTTAAGAGTCGAACGAACTACAAACACCAACGACTTTGTTCCTGACGATACTTACGATCCAATAATACTTTGTACGTGAACGTTTAAGTTATTATTCGGGCAGCATGTCTTTCGAAATGGATCGATCGCGTTGTTTTTAAGATCGTTTAATGTACATAGACGTATTTATACACATTATAATTAATCCTATTAAAAGCGACATATGTATACACAAAATAGAATACAAGATATGATAGCCAAATGCAACAATGGAGTAAACGTATTAAAGAATCGTGCAATGTCAGATGTAATTTTTAAGTGTCAAATTGTACTCAAAGAAGTATTTACAGGAAGCATTTATCGAATTGCCACGAATTTTATTTCAAACGAATGAATAAATTTCAAAATATCACAAAGATCGAAATTGTTTTTATTCTTATAATAGGTACTCGTCCTCTGGAGAAAAAAGAAAGAAAAAAAGACGAAAAAAAAAAGAAAAGAAGAGAAGTTGAATAAGATATTAGTTCCCGCTTAATTTCTTTTTACCCCCAACCCCCTCCCCCCAATTAATTTTGGTTATAAAATAAAGATGAACTATAACAATAATACCTAACGTTTAAAGAGAAAATTTGTATTTCCTGAGATACTTTGCATATTAAAAATTACATGTTTCAAGTACATTGTATTTAAAGTAATTACAGGCAATATTTTTCTTTTCTGTTACAAACTATTAATCAAATATGCACCATTGAATGTAGAATCAATTCGATAACGCCTTCAATTCCCACATTTAATCACTAACAAATATCTTCATGATAATATATAAAACATTTGCAACGACATTTTTCATATCTTTTTTTTTTTTTTTTTTCTTTTAATTTTCTCCATGACACATTGGTAGAACATTCAGTCGGTTAAAATAAACCATTCAACATTTTCGTTTTTTCTTTTTCTTGTTTTTGTTTTTCCATGTGTGATTCTTGATTGAAAATGACACAAAATACTATGGTGTTAATGTTAACGTAATACACCACAATTTGTTCGATGATCAATTTATATACAAGCATATATAAATATTCCAATCCAACTATGAATGATCGCAGCATCTCCCTGAATGAATGTCCGTATAAGCATCTTTAAATACTTCTTCTTTTTCCAAATGGAAAAATTTAAGATCACGCTTCATGGCATACGCATCTTCACCATCCGCATAATATTTCGGTTCGACTTCGGAGATCTCAAAATTTAAACTGCTTATGTAAAGATTTAAAGCCGCTCGATTGCTTCTACGTACATGTAATGAAACATAATTTGCACCAAAGCACTCCACCATTGCTCTGGAAGCTTGATTCATAAGTTTTTGTGCAATACCAAGCCTTCTGTGAGATCGTTTCACAGCTAAACTGGTTATGTGTCCATGTGGATTATCTTCACAATCTTCTTCCATCTTGGCCAGAACATATCCCACTATCCTTCCTTTTTCATCTTCTGCTACGTAACTTAATTGTGGCCAAGATAAAGCATGATATAGGTAATATTTCATTTGATAATTTTCAGGTAAACATTGCAAATTGCAATGTTGTATGTTCAATAAATCATCCGTGTTTGCACAGCGTATATTTATAGACATTTTGATGTTTTCTCTTTGAATGCGATTCCAGATTAGATAATCCTGATTAATACTTTTCTTGTAGAAGGTTTATTTTTCTTTTCTTTTTCCTTTTTCTTTTTTTTTTCTTTCTTTTTTCTTTTTTTCACCAGCCGATTCTTTTACAATGGAACACAATGTAGAACTTAATCACGACGAACTTTCTTTATACGAGATCGACCATTCTTCAAATCATTGACCGATGAAGACTCGCTCATTCCACCGAGTAATTCACGAACAAATCGGAATCGTGAAAGGAAGAACTTCCAAACTAAGTACCAGCCTATAAAAATTATAAATACAATAGTTATTACGATCAATTTTATTTACATTATCTAATATCTAATGGAAACAATAACATTGCATTATTTTTCCGTACAACACGTGATGATGTAGGTTACCTATTCATTAAATTCAGAGATTTGCATAATTTATTAAAATTAAGATCAGCAGCTTGTTTATATTAATAATTATATCCTCCTTGCGTTTCTTGCTCATTTATCCTTACCCAATAATACGAGGCCAAATACGATCAGTAGACTCGATATCACGGAGAATGCTGCCAGAAGGATTTCCTGCATTATCGAGTTTGTACCTTGCAATACGAGATGAAACAAAACTACCTACGATGAGATCCGCGAAAATAGTGTCATAATATTCCTTTTCCTTTTTTACCTCAATAATTCTCGCGACAGGAGAATTGAATTTTCTACATATAAGAATTTTGACAACGAAGAATTTAGCACTATACGACACCAAAATATGATCCAAACTATTCGTTCAACTACCGTAACACGCCATTTTGATAATCTCCAATAGAGAGTTTCCATGTAGAGGTTATGATTTCCCCCTCCAACCTCGTGACGAACTCTTCAATTTTTTAGAATCATTTTCCCTATGCGTATGTACAGCACAAATTGGAAAACTTACCAAAGGATCAAAGTCCAAATTCTATTTTCTATGATGCGATGCGAATGAAGATATTGGAAAATGTTATAATCGGTAAGTGTTTTGAATGCCAATCGCTAATCGAGTAGACAGGAAGCAGATAGTGGTCACGTGGTATGAAGAATGCTCGTACATTATAGGACGACCTATGAATTGACTGATGTTGCGCGGTAAATTCAAAATCATATTGTAAATCAAAAACTTTCTCCTTTTACAATTAAACTAATTTCTACTTACAAAAAATTTCTTATATATATATATATGTATATATATATATATATATCCTACTATATTCACATCGTCAAAAGATATCGATTTTTATAACCGAGTAAGATTGTCACTTGTATCATGACTCGTCGTACGAGTAGATTTATAAATAACACATTGAGGTATTATAAAAATTTGCCATTATATTAAATTAAATTCGATCTAAAATGTTGTAGAAATCGATGTTATTAGGCTACTGTGTTATGGTGAAATTGTGTTGTTACAAATGGATCTGGATTCCGTTTATCGTAATTTCAGTACTTACGATAGTGGAAAGTAAAAGACGTCAAAAGAGACCCTTCAATTTATTACATCATTATCAGCAGCATCTCATTTCGAACGAAAATCATAACGATTTAACATCGAATTCTATTTTGTATGGTAAGAAATTATCCTCAAACGTGAACGCTACCGAAGAGACGATGACTACTTCGATGACTTCGTTTTTCGATACAAAACAATCTGTTAAAGAAAAGACATTATTAGATCTTGAAAAACCTAAGCTTTTCGACGACATCGATAAGCATTCGGATTTGGAGGAATCGTCGAACGACACGCACATTCGAGTAAAAAGAACCGATTTTAAGTTTGTCAAATCGGATAAAAATCAGCCATTGATACGTTTGAAAAGTAATTATTTCGTAGATCTAGCCGATTCTTTTCCACGAAAATCTTCAAACGCAGAATATCGATCATTGAGAAAAAGGTACATTAAATTATCGAAAAGTTCTAATGATTATTACAATACTTCCAATTATCGAAACGTATCTTCTAATTCTAATGGAACATTTTTCAATTCGCAAGTTACTGAAACAAATCGTTACCTCGACAATTATATTACCGATTCGATGGCATCAAAAATTCATTGTAACGACGTTGAAAAAAAAGTCGGAACAATCTTTAATCTCGAAGCTAATATTTCGCAAACTTTGAAGCCAAACGATTCAATGTTAAAAAATATTGGAGTTTATAAAAAGAGATCTAAAAAGAAAAGAAAGTCTAACAAAAATAAGATACGTAGAGTTCTTCATGGGAAGAAAAGAAAATTAGGGAAATACGTTGGTAGGACGGATAAGAGGAAAGGTATTTCCTCTAAAGCAACTGGCAAACGTATCTCGAACTCATTAAAAACAACGTCCCTTTCGAAAGGCAAGCAACAAAAGATTCACACGATTAGAAATTTAGATTTACCTAAAATTGTCGACGATTATCAAGTCGAATCTAAAATGAAAAAAAAGGATTCTATTGACGATGGATCGGAAATTCATGTAGTTCGAAGAAGAAAGATTTCTGATTATGAAAGATCCTCTCGCGAGGGTGAGAACGAACGAACTGAAGAAACATTGATAGAGGAAAAGATAGACGTATCATCTGTGAACGATAATGTGCGAGATAAAAGAAGCTTAAATAAAAGTAAAGGGATTGTATTTGAGGAAAGAGATATATCATTAAGGACTCGATTAAAGAGAAATGAAAATGACAATTTAACGATACCGAAATACCCAAATGTTCTTGAATCAACGTTGTCATCTTTATCAATGTTATCAGAAACTAATCAGTCACTGTTTGAGAAACCACGTGGCGATAGAGCAGTGAAATCCATCGAGGAAATCAAAGAACTCGCGGAGAAGCTGGTTACCAAAGTAAGTACTTAAGTACACACTTATTTTGGATTGGCAAATTAACGGTATCGAAGTTATCTTCGAAGGTGAACGAGTTACAAAGTTATCTGAGCTATGAAAACGAAAGAGAAAGTAAAGGAGAGAAGATTATGAAAATGAAGAAGAAGAAGAAGCTGGAGTCACGTGAGATCGAAGTTCCTCATAATAACGGCACGATCGAAGAAGAAATTGTTTTGGAAACACCAAAATTAGTGGATGAATGCGTACGAATAGGTGATCTTAGTTCGGCCTTGAAAACTCTAGATGATAGAAACGCTAGTTTCGATAAGGTAACGAAAAAGGAAGAATCAGGAACTGAAAGGATTAATTTATTAAACGATCGAACGGATTCGTTGACGAAGAGAGTGATTCGTAAAAATCGAATTAAACGAAAATCGCGTCGTAAATGGGGCAGATGGACGGGTTGGAGCAGTTGTAGCGTCAGTTGCGGTAAAGGTCGACAGATCAGATGGAGACATTGTTTACGCGATTGTAGTACAGTTGAAACTGAAATGGAAGAAAAGGCATGCCAAATGCCGGCCTGTCCACCTGGAAAGTTTCTCGGAATATTTTAGATTTTTTTTTCAAAATGATTGTCACAGTGATTCGTTCTTCTAATCGTCGTTCCTCCATAACTAGTGGTTTATATATCTTTAGATCGTTTTAAGGGATCGTTGTATATGGTAAGCAATAAAGTTTGTATTTTATTATTCGAAAAATAGAGTATTAAAAAAAAAAAAAAAAATGGAAAGCTGTAACAGCGGGTGATAAGAGTTAAGTTATTGTCTTATGATTGTGTAACAAATCGCTTCAAGTATATTTCTTTGTCTTATTATGAAATACACACACAATATATTATACAGAATATTTTAAACAATACCATTCTCCTTTTCTCACAAATATTCACAATTAACGACTGTATTCGTTGCATACAGGATAATTACTGTAGCTTATAATCGTTCTTCGCCTTCGTGAAACCAATGATACGTGAAAGTTTGATTTTCTTCCATAATAGATGTAAAATATTTTTTGGGCATTGTAAGTTCGATTTAAATCATCTAATATATCCAGTAAAACTATCGACGTCCGCATATTCAACTTCGTAACACTATACAATTTGTTTTAAATTAAAAATTTCAGTTATTTCATCCTAAGCCCGCTATCCGTTTCGTACTTCCTTAAAATATTCGTATCGTACACTATTTATACACTATCCAACAATTTAATCGTCCGTGACTTATTAACTATTCTTATCGTGGTATCGGTTTTAAAAGTTGGCCTTAGACAAAAATTACTGTTCCGCGCAAGAATTTTCTATTCCCCAAAAATTTTGGCGCAGTGCGAGGATTTCCAAAAATTCTCGTGGACACATTTGACATCTTTCTAATCTAAACGGTTCTATACAAACTCGTAACGTATATATGAAATATATCGCGCAGCGACGAATAGTTTATTACTGAATTGTTCGCTCGTATATTATTCAGCGTATCTTCGCGGTAAAGTCACGCGATTACGGCTTATTTAGAACATTGTACGTTAGAAAGATTTATCGTCGGTAGCGCGAATATTTTCTTTTTTTCTTTTTTCCATTTTTTTTTTTTTTTATTTCCCGACGTAGGCGCGTAGGCGTTTCTCTTCGATAACGTGTAAAATTTCCAAATAAATCGGGGACGTATTCGCGCTCATGGATATAAAACTTCCTTTGCAAAGTTCTTTCCCAAGCAAAACAAAAGGGGGAGGGGGGAGAGGGGGTGTGGAAAAGATGTATTAAAAAGTTGCTTCGAAGCGATCAATTAAAACAAAGAATAGAATAACATAAAATAAAATATGACCATGAGTGTATTTCACTCGTAGTTCTACCTAAGATTCGCACAACCAAAGGTATATACCTTTTAGCAAAAAAAAACTATAAAAAGTCTTAACGGCGTGCTATCTTTCAATTATTAATATTTGCCTTATCCGAGTGGCCACTTACACGTAAAAAATGATCACAATATTTAACGCATGCATTCTCGCGCGCTCTACACACATTCATCACAAATTTTTTCTTCATTCATACGTTTCCTTTAATTCTCTCCTCAGTGGCATACTATACGGTTCTCAGATTGCGGACAGTGTGACAACCCATATGTCTTTTTTTCCATTATGTTTTTCTTCGTTGAATCATAAATACTTGTAACATTTCGACTATTCAATTTATCTTCAATTTATACTTCAAGTTCTCCTGTCGTAATAATTCCTATGATCGAAGGATATTGCGTGGAAGAACCGATGCACGTGCAATCAACGGTGTGACATAAAAGTTTTGTTTTTATCCTCGATATAATGAAAAGGATATTTATCCACAGAGATCATAAAATATTAAAATACTATATTTCTAGCCTGTTCCGTTTGTACATCCGACACGAGATGCTCTTCTCTTCCCGCCAAGATTCTGACGTCTCGATCGATATCTAAGCGCATTTGCTTAAGTCTTCTCTCTACGTTTTCTGCATGATCGTAACCTAACCAGTCTACTAAAAAAATGAACAAAGTAAAAAATTAAAATAATTTTAATACATATAATTATATAATAAATTATGATATATACACACATATATATATATATATATATATATATATTTTCGTTATGTGTCAGATTATAATGCAATACGATATACACTTACTACCCATAGCAATTACATTCTGCGATAATGTCCTAGCTACGGCCAGTCTTACGTTTGGAACTTTATCCCAAGAAAGATTTAGTAGACTCGGTAACATTTCCTTGGCGAATTTCTCTCCGCTAATCGCATTGCCAGCAATCAGTTGTGCGCAGAGAAGAGCGTAGGTTTGCCTACGAACCCACTTACTTGTATTAATCGCAATTGTATCTCTGAGTTCCTGTATAAGTGCCGTGGCAAGAGGTTCATCGTTAGAAAGATGAGAGATTATTCGAGTAACCTACAAGAATGAATTAGTATTGGTAACGGTAATATACAAGATATTAATTTATGTAAATATGATAAAGAATGTGATCAGTTACCAGTGTAAGCGCAACTTGTCTGACAGCGGCAACTTTATCAATGAGTAATTTAAGAGACAACGGTGCGATGTATTGCGCCACGTCGTTGGCATTAAAAAGAGTAACAACCTCGAGTAATTGGGTGGCCAATTCCTTTCTAAACCTCCAGTTCCATTCGTTATCCGTGACAAGAAAATTATGCAACCTCGGTAAATAGTGCCAACGATAATTAGGCTTGAGTATTTTAAGAAATGTCGCTAGGTGTTTCAAAACACCGATTCTAACTTCATCAAGATCCTTAATAAAGCCGTCATATATAGGCACGAGATCAGTGGCAGTAAGTTCTTCGCCCAATATTATGGCTATTTCGTGAATGCTAGAGGCTAAAGTACGCCTGACCTTCCATTGTTTCGCACCCGCCAATGATTGATACGCTTTCTTTAAATAAGGCCAATTCTCTTTTCCTAATGTCAACGTGACCGCGGGAAAACTGAAGGCACAGTGATACGAAATTTCTCCTTCCTCACATAGCTCTGGCTCAGCCATGGATACAAAATAATCAACTAGATCTTGAGGTACGATGTCTTGCTTATTATTTTTAGATTCGTGTTTCCTGAGAAATAGGGACGCATTTAAATTACTCTTGTCCAGAGATAAATTGGATATATCTATGGTCTCGGCGCTGTCATCGGCCCATATCGATGAACGATTATTATCATCTTCATCGTCCTCTTCCTCTTTCTGTTGCTTTTTGTTATCAATTTTTCGATTATCAACGTTAATGCTACATTTTGCCGTACTTTCGTCTTTTTTCTTTGATATCGTCAAATTGCTCGTTCCCTTGGTAGGATCATCCTTTTTATCTTGCGCATTTTCATTAGTCGACTTATTTGTTTCCGAGGACTTTTGAGCGGCTTGGACTAAGGGATCATCAAGAGGTATTTCCGGTGGTATGTAATAATATAGAAACGTATTAAATTTTTCGGTATCGTCCGGATCATTTTGTTCGTTTTCCGTCGTTTGCTTTTTTTGCGTCTGCGATGATAAAATCATTAAATGCGATTATTAACAATGCTTTTGCCATTGATATTTAATTTATTCAATGTTCCGTACCTTCGTTTTGTGCGCTCTCAGGGGAAGATTGGACATATAGTTTTTTTGAGTATGCTCGTACACTTCCATCAGACAACCGATATCGAGTACATCTCTAATGTCGTAATCTTCCGAATCCAACGTTTGATTCCGTATCGCACACTTAGTCGGAAAAATTCCTTCATACGAGTATCGTATGCCCGATGTAAAATCTCGTTCGATACTGTTATTCTTATCGATACTATAATCATTATTATATTATTTTATTGTTGTTGTTCTTGTTCTTGTTATCATCATTATTATAATTGTAATACATTAATATTCTATATCAATAAGTAAACTAAATTCACCTGAAATTATCGTCCTGTTGATTGGTGAAAACAAATTCGCCATCTTGATTATAGGTCACATTAGTGAATTGTTTTGCAAAAGTAGATATGAAAGGACCAAGAATTTGAAATGCGCTCGCTCGTACCCACTTGGAGTCATCGTTGAGATGCGTTGCTAAAATATCAGCCAATAGTATTCGACGATATGGATATGTGACGCAACAGGAAACTGGCATCATTACGTCGACGCAAGCTTTCCTAACTCCCCAAACGTTGTCCAGGCATAATTGGACAAATATTGGAAACTGAAATATAACATTATTAAGAGATAAAAAAAATTATTACATTGTTTCCCAATATAAAACTTTTGTTCTCTCCGTTAAAATTGTATTTACCAGTTTATAAAGAAGAGCTTTCCTTCCTACCGCGACACACATTTCCCCAAAATGTACCACGCACATCCTTCTTACGTGGATGATATTATCTCCACAAAGAGCGATGTATCTGTCCAAGAAGACCTTTTCTGTGAGCTCTTTACCAATAAGCAGTGCCATTTTACTCATGAGCTGTGGGCCGACACAAAATGCGATATAATGCTTAAGGGGGTACTAGGAAAAAATCATCATTAACTCGGGAATAAATGAATTGTGAAAGGTTTAACCGTATATTTTTTTTATATATGTAAAACTCGAATAAATAGTACGTTCACATGTTATTATTGAATATACAAAATTAAAAAATAGTAATACATCATCAAGTACGAGAGATTACATTTAAGATACAACAAAGAAATACAAAATATAAGTTAACAAAAAAAGAAAAAGAAAAAGAAAAAAAAAAATTGGAAGAAAAAATTAAATATTATACACGCATCTTCTCGAAGGTTCATATCGTTCCGTCCCGCTCATCAAAGCTGGCTGTGATATGAGAGCGTAAAGAGAAACCACATCACAACCACTCTGACGGGAGGAACAGTCGATCGGTCTGTTGTTGTCTATAAAACTGAAAAAATTTGAATGCATAGATCAAAAAAAAAAAAAAAAAAAAAAAAAGAGAAAGAAAAAAAAAGAGAAAGAAAAAAGAAAACCTTTGATTACATCATTTAAAAGGAATCTTACAGCATACAATACACATTGAAAAAACGTTGAATCATGAAATCCTGTCGAGTTTGATTTCTTCGATGGAAAATCGAGTCGCAGCCCTCATCAAAGCTGGCTGTGATATGAAGTTTCATTAGCATACAACAACCACTTTGTGAGCGACGCGAACGCGAAAACTTTTTAGCTCTAGGAATTTCAGTCTTCTATGAAAAAAAGTTTGGGATCAGTTGGAGCCCGATCTTCTTGGAGTTTTCTTCGTGAACGAAGAAGGAGGCTGCCTCCCTTTATCTTTCTTTTTTTTCTCCCTCTTCCTCTCATTCTTTCGTTTTCTCCCTCTTTTATTTTTTCTTTTTTTTTTTTTTCTTTTTTTGCTATCTGAGTTAGTCTTTCTCTTCCTTGGGCGCGTAGGAGGAAGGAGGTCGAGGAACGTGCGGGCCCAACGATGCGAAAAAACATCGATCCAAACATCAAAAATGGCTGTGATATGAAATCAAAAGAAAAGGCTACACGTCACAGCCAATTTGACGATTGGATCGTGTTTCCTTTTGTCTCCAACATAATAATCTGGCTTGCTCGCTCGATTTTTTCCCCGATGTTGATACACGATCGCCGAGCGTGATTCGTATCTGAAAAGCAATCATCTTTGGTAAAACGGTTAAAGGGGAGGGAACACGCGACCGGCATGAAAAAAGCAATATTATTCTGGAGGATCCCTTGACGATCGGTTCTGCGGGCCAAGGTCATCAAAATGGCTGTGATATGACTCGCAACATTCCACAGCCAATTTGATTTATCGGACCGCAAAAGGTTCTTAAACTTTCGCTTTGCTCTTAGTACCTTTTTATCCGCCATTCGTTGCTCCCAGCAGCTCTTCCTCTTCTTCATTAGATTTCTTCGATCTCGTGTACTCGATCATCCGTTCCTCTTCCTTTCTCTCGTATCTTCTTTCTTTTTTTCTTCCTTTGTTCTTGATTCTTTGAAACAACACGCTTGTTTTGCGTCAACATTCTCTCCATCACATACACACACACGCACGCACGTACATACACACACACACACACTCTCTCTTTCTCTCTCTCTCACACTCTCTGACTGACTCATTCACTCACTCATTCAATCACTCATTCACTCACTCTTGTTCTTCTTTCTCTCACTCAACCTCTCGCTCTCGTTTAAACAGTGTTGAGGACGGACACAATTTTGCTCATCAAAGCTGGCTGTGATAGTTGATCTCTATGACAAACCAACTTTGATGGTAAAAGCATGCCCCTATCGATCGAGGATCGTGCTCGCCGTGCTTTACTTCTCTAAGGTCTATCTCCTCCTTCCATCTTTCTCACACATTCTCTCTCTTTCTTTCTCTTTCTCTCTCTCTCTCTCTCTCTTTCTTTCTCTTTTTCTCTCTCTCTCTCTCTCTCTCTCTCTCTCTCTCTCTCTCCCTCTCTCTCTTTTCCAACAAATCCCGTCACTACTCCTTCGCGTCGTAGGAGACTAATAACAAATGTTATATTGGCGATGGGTCGCATGAAAAATTTCGCGTTCAACGAAACTTTGAAAAAAGAGAAAAATACTCAAGGGGGGAAAGAAAATGTAGGGTACGTGCTCCGATTCTCGTGTCGACGAGGTTGAAGAGGTTGAAGGGGTTCAACGAACGCCACATGAAAGACAAGGTAGTGAGACGCGATTGCGTGAGAACATCTCACTACCCATGTCTTTCAGGCGGAATCCGCCGAAGAGATATAATGTGGGGCGCAGGCTTGGATCGGTGGTAATGTTAAAAGAATTTACTCGGAGGCGAGTACTTGAGAAGGAGACTAAAGAAGAGCATAAATCGTTTCGTTCTCTCGATGCTCTCTCTCTCTCTCTCGGTGCTCTTTCTCTCTCTCTCTCACTCTCTCTGTCTCTCTCTTTCTGGTTATTTACTAACTCGTTCTATCGTTGAACTTTTTGTAATAAATACGTTTCCTTGTTAACGCCATTCTCATTCTCAAGTGCTCGTGTTTGCTCGAAAAAAAAAGAAAAAAAAAGAAAAAAAAAGAGAAAAAAAAAGAAAAGAAAAAAAAAGAAAAAAAAAGAAAAGAAAAAATAACGAAACGACGACGCGACAGGCACGGATAAATGGATGACACGAGATAAGAAGGAATGACAAAATGGGTGCTCTGTGGTTTGGGAGTCGAGGAAAGGAACAGCGAGATGGAAACTTACAGAAATGCCTGAATTCAAGTAGTCGACGGTCATGCGGGATAAGCTCTCTACTATCGGGCAGATTTCGGTCTCAATAGTCTTCGTGTCTAACAGGCCGCGTTTGATCAAAGCTAATAAGGCCTCTTGCGCCGATTGTCGTACCTGCAAGGTGAAGAACAGCGATAGCTTAAGTGCCTCGATCTTTCGCGGGTTTCTCCGAACGTCGGGGAAGAATAGAAGAAACAGGGTAATAGCATGGGGAAGAATGTCACGTACGTTCGATTGAAAATCTTTACTCACTTGATTGTCCATATCTAGAAGGTATTTTCTGATAATACCAAGGATGTGATTGTGAAGAACATCGCCAAATAGGTGAGGAGTGTCCTGGCAGATCATGGCAACGTATGGCAATTGTTCCACCAAGTCCGAACGAATTGGAGGTTCTGAAAGAAAATTAGTTCTTGAGATAATTAAAAAATAATAGTCCATTTGTACGGTTTCTAATAGGCTTTACATGAATAGTAAATATATCAATGAAAAAAGATCTATAAAGTCGTAAACGAACTATCTCATTTAGAAGCGAGGGAATAGTAATAATCAAGGGAGTTTCGATTATTACCACGCTCGCAAACGAGATCCAAATTACAAGTTTTGTGGTTAACACGACGTGGTAATTCTATGGAGTCGGCCTATCACTACTTTATCCGTAAAACATATGTTTCGTACAAATACAATGTCAACCTGACGATCATAGATATGACTATCCTTTATGACAATAACTCCGCGCATGATTTAGCTTAATATCTTCCCTGTATTTTGTACAATGGATCATTATAATCGAGTTGAGAAGAAAATGAATGGAATTAGAAAAATAAAACGCGATATGGAAATTAAGGAAAATCGAGAGTAGAAAGAAGAATGAGGTATTAACTGTCTTTTCAAAATCATTCGATCGAGCGATCCAAAAAGCCGACAATTGCAGATCTATATTACTAATAGTTATTGACATAGCAGAAAACAAAATCTTTTTCTTGTAGGTCTTTATGGTCAAACACGAGAAACACTCGACGAGTTCAACAAAAACACGAGGTAAAAGACGTAGGAAACAAAAAAAAAAAAAAAGAAAGAAAGAAAGAAAGGAAAGGAGAAAAAGAGAGAAAGAGAAAAAAGAGGCTATTCTTCGATGACGTCTCTCAACCTTAGTGGTTCCAGGTCGAGGTCCCTTTTACAACGAAATACCTGAATGGCGAAAAGTGGACATAAGGGTGCACGAAAAAGAAGTCGGTAAACTGGCGCTTCTACCGATTAGGAAAACTCGCACCTTTCCGAGAGGGCCAGCTTTAAGCGAGAGACCTTCATAAAAGGAGAAAATTCGCAGCCGACCATTAGCGAACATACTTGTTCTCTTTCTCTTCTTCACTCTCCGTCAACGTAGTGGTCAAGCGGTCCAGATGGACTAACTGCGTTGCTGCAATTATTGCGGAGGAGGATAATGCCTGGAGAATTCGTACCGCGAAAATGAGCATTGTGTAAAACTTTATGCGAAACTTCACCTCTAGTTACCATCAGTTACTATCGTTTGCTACAATCAGAGAGGAAGAAAGTTTACGAGTAAGTACGTGATATTGCGTGGGACAGAATGATCGTAGATTTTTTCTTTTTTCTTTTTTTTTATTATTATTATTATTATTATTATTATTATTATTATTTAAGTCACACGTAGGCGTCAAGATTATCTTAAAACTTCCTTGATCGAGTTAGTAATCAAATAGATTGAAGATGTAACAATTATGTTATCATCTCAAGTACGAATAAGTTACGAAAATATAATCGTATGCTCACCATTTATAGACTCAACGAAAAAGATTATATCCATAATTAGGGAATTAATTTCGTTTCTGAACATCACTCGTTGCATCGTGACACACTTCATCGTCGTATATTATCTTGTAAAAATTTTTACGAATATATTTCGAAATATCAAAAGACACTATTATAACGCATGGCGGAAAATATTTGAACTCTCTTTGAACTCAAAATTAATAAAGAAAACGAAGAGAAATAAAAAAAAGCAAGACGAGAAGGAGGAGGAGGAGGAAAAGGCAAATGTTCACGATCAAAAAGCATAGGCGCGACTGAAAGTAAAGTTTGGCTTCCAGGAAAAATATATCTACCCTTGAAAAGCTTTTCAAAGTGGTGGGGATAAAACTACTACTGCGTAGTATGGACCCTAGAACTAAAGGGCCTCATGGTGAGCGGTGGGAGAAAAACGAGAATGAGGGTGGAAGGATATGGTTTGAAATGGATTTTAAGGTTAGAGCATAGCTGTTTAGGAATTTTGAAAATGTTTTTAAGAAATATATGAAAAAGATCAATGAGTTTTAGGAATATATAGCGTGCGAAATTCATACTTCTCATCCTCTCAGCATGTACACAATAGTCCTAATAATTTCCTCCTCCTTCACCTCCTCCTCCTATTTTTTTCCATTCCTCATGATTTTCTCATTTTATTCCACGCTCGAGATTTTTATTTTTCTTCTATCATCTTTATTTCTTATTTTCTGATACACTCGCACACAGCTTCGTTCATTAATCACTCCGAGGGTCTTATCTTCTTCTCCGCCTACCCTATCCTTGTCCCTTCTCTAGATCCTACCGAAAATATCCCGGCGGGGTCCTTCAGGAATCTGTCTTTAAAAAAAAGAGTACGAGAAACTCTGTGTAACGTTTAAATGCCATCGTTAAAAGCTTCTTCGTTTGTACTTCCTTTTCTCTCTCTCTCTCTCTCTCTCTCTCTCTCTCTCTCTCTCTCTTTCTCTTTCTTACTTTTTTTCTTTTTTTCTTTTCTTTCCTTCTTGACCTTTCGTTTTCTCGGTACTTTGATTTTTTATTTAAATATTGATAAGCTCGACAAAAGGAATACTTTCTTCCGAGAGAAAATATAAGATCGTTTGGTTAATTGAACGTACGGAATAATGATTACCCACGAATTGATTTTAATAAAGAATGTAATTTAACACGTATAGAATACAATTAAACTGCGATGATAAATTTAATCCTTACTAATAGTTAAAAAGAAAAAAAATAAGAAATTAATGATGTTAGCTGCGAAAATCATTTTAATCGTCGTAGTTTATAATGTTTGTCTGTTTTCGTCAGTTTCTTGTCTATTTATCGTGAAAATTCTATTTAAAACGTTTCAATATCGTATTTGTTAATTTACTAGATTATTATAGATCGCTATAATACAATGAAATCTATCGATCAAGAGATAACGTTGTCTTTCGTTAAAACGATAACGAGAAGAAAAAGAAAGATGAAAAATTGGATCGTAATGACAATCGGCTTTTCAGTCCGTTTTCTTTCGAAATTCCAAAAATACGTAAACTCATCGAAAACATGGTGGAAGAAGAAAAAGAAAAAGAAAAAGAAAAAGAAAAAAAGAAAACGCGTGTCGCGTGCCCCGTTTCCTGAATCGTGGGATGTCGCGACCCTTCGTTCTTATTCCCTAACGTAGAAACACCGGTGGTGGCACGTGTTACAGGCAAGATGTTTCATAGATCGCGTCTAAAAATAGAAAAAGGAGAGAAGGAATACGAGGGTCGAAACCACCGGGCCCCTTGCACCAGGATGCACCGTTTGTCAACGGGTGCTCGTTGCATTTTTACGACAACGAGGGAGGGCCCATCGAATTTCTTCCTTCCTGAGCAGAAGATTTCTTCAAAAACAACATCTGACTCTCTCTTTCTCTTTTCTCTCTCTCTCTCTCTCTCTCTCTCTCTCTCTCTCTCTCTCTCTCTGTCTGTCTGTCTGTCTGTCTATCTGTCTAAAACGTCTCTCTATATCCTAATTCACTCGCTCTATTAAAACTCTTACGATTTACTCTTTTACTTTCCCCTTTACGAAAGTCTGGATATCGTCCGTTCATAAATGAACTCTTGAACGTGCTAATATACTACGAGATGAAATCTACCGTGTTGTAAACAGTTTTTATATAGAATTACGAAAAAAGAACGTTTAATGGCCGTGATTCTAATGTTGACATTAAAAACGTGTTTTTTTTTTTTTTTAATACGACGACGAGGAGCAACTGTTTCGTAATTATTTTAAGAAAAATATCTTTTTCAAAACGTTTCATATGAAAATTATTTCGTTTGCACGTATTGATATTGTACGAGGGGAAAACGATTCAATGATAAATTTTCGAGATACATCTAAAAGATTATGTAAAAAATAAGATCTAAAAAGATTATGTGTCATTTTTTTTATTTTTTATTTTTTCTTACCTGCGAGCAAGAAGAAAGACTTTTTTTTTTTTATTCAGGACGAAGTCCTATGAGTTAGACTTACCCTCGCTCTTATGCTTACCAGACAACTGGAGGCAAGCCAAACATAATTACGTGGACGATTTCGTATTCACGAAGAGCATTTTCCCTACATTTTCCTTTTATGGTTAACACAATAATCGGCCGTATACTTTGTTTTCGAGTGCATCAAGAGAAAGAAATGCAAAATGAAGTTTTTCGTTTTTCCGGATGGCAAATTCAAAGCAAGCACCATTTGCATTTCATTTTAATATTGCAATTTAAAAATGACCCCGAGCTCGGAACGTACCTACCTCTATCTTCTTTTTTCTTTTGTAATTTTATCTATCTGCCAGTTTCGTTCATTCTCCCATTCTAAAGAGGACAGTAAAAAAGAAAAAGAAAAAAAAAAAGAAAAAGAAAAAATAGAAAAGAAAGAAAGAAAACGCGGCCGTTCTATGAGTATTTATATATAAAAGCGTGTTGATAATTTTTGAACGAGCGAAAAAGTTAAAAAAAGAAAAAAGCGTAGGTGGAATAGGAGGGAGATAATCATAGAAATAGCATGTGTGTGATGCGTCGAAAATACGTGGGGTCATCCCATGACATTCCGGAAGGGCACGCGCCTTACCGGAAGCAGGACTAATCCGTCATCACCTCCCGCATGCTCCTCTTTTCCGTTCTCCTCTCTTTCTCTTCTCTCTC